ACATCTTAAATAAAGGACTACACCATAAGAGTAGAGAAGTCGCAGCCAGAAACAATGCCTAGGTCAGCAGAACTCACCCTGAGCACAGGAACCAGGGCTCAGGACCACCAGGCTGTCATTCAAGTCAGCTGTCTCTACAGAGATTACATGATTTGTAAACCCATCTAGGTGTTCAGTATAGTCATGGGACCCATCTTAATAATGGGGCAAATTCTGAGAACTGTACCTTTAGGTGATCTCATTGTTTTGTGAACATTCTAGAATATACTTACACAAATGTGGGTGTTGCTAACCATTATTCCATGTAGCCTCTTGGTACTCATAAAAGATGAGGTAATCAGTTATGTGAGGCTGCTGTCAATGTCACATGGCAGACTGCTTTACATAAACTTCCTTTAAACAAATAGGAGGACACTGAAATAATGGTAAAGTCTACTACATACAAAACCACTAACAATCATTCACCATCATTATCAAGTACATGCAGCAATGGTACAATTGATGGTCCCCACCCCCAGCATTACCGTGCAATGAGTGCAATGAGCGTGATTACAAGGTTGTGAAAGGCTATGACATCACTAGACAGGAGGAATTTTTCAGCTCCATTAAAGTGTTATGAGAATACCACCCTATGTAGGGTCTACTGTATACCTAAACATCCTTATGTGGTGCATTACTGGACTCTCATTCATTCATTATTCTAGCTAGACCCACAGTCTTGCTACAGAGCTTGGTGACTTGGGAAAGATCCTCAGAAATTATCATTTCATCATGAATTTCCTTCATTGGAAGGAAGCAAGAGGGTCAGGAGGGGTTCCTCCCTAGGACTTTAGAGCAATCTCTGACCTGCAAACTGGGTCAGTTATGGGTGAAGCTTGCTCCACAGAGTCAAGCTCCTCATCTTAGCTCTGGACAGAAGCTGGTATCCCTTTTAGTGCACCGACAAAATGAGGCTGATAGAGGATGTGTAGAAGCCCTCCAGCCTACCCGCAGACTGCCCTCGTAAGCATCAGCAGGTATGTGGTAATTTACATGAGCACTGACTTCTGTGAGAGCCCTGAGGTTTCTGGCCATGAGAATAGGTAAGGTTCTAAAAACAGGGCATGCTGGTTCCCTACACAATGACGTAAATCTGTCAGAACGCTTGGGGTGTGAAGGGGTGTCTGTGGCACTGCAGTGTCCCTGGAAGGAGGTCTGTATGGCAGAGAAGAGGGCTGTGAGGCAAAGAAGGGATCTGCATAATTACCCTCCAGTGACCAACTTTATGATGATGGCCCCAGATTTGCATTCCTGGTAAGAAAGTTGGAAGGGGCACATGCTGTAGATATCTAACTATGGGACTTGTTGGTCAGGACCCTCCCCATCATCCAGAGTCTTCTGTTCTTTGGCCAGACTCTTTACAAGTCTCTGTCTTGCCCTTGACCTTGGCCTACTTGTACATTGTAACAAACTGTCAGCTCAAGAACAAAAATGACGGCAGAACTAACATTTCAACTTTTTGACGGTACAAGGACCACTGTAGCAGCAGGAGGAGGTAGCAGAAACCAAGATTCTTCTCCTGCCCCCTCTGCCATCTGTCCCCATTGCCCTGACCAAGTGAATCAGTAACTCAGAGGTGCAAGTATACAAACATACCCATAGCCCAGACTCAGAATCCCACCTTCTCCTGAAAGGCACCAGACTGCTCAGTACACCCACTCCCTGAACCCGTTTCCCCACCTGAGGTATACACATGTGATGTTCCTGAAAGATGCCGGGGAGCTCTAGGTGTTGAGTTACTTGGTAAAAACTTTGAAACTAAGAACAGAATTGGGACAGTATCCCATATCTTGTGAGCTAACTTGGGGCTGGCTTTTGAGGGGTTTGAGGCCTGGAGACACAGAGCTGGTATCCTTGAGGTTCCTACAGAAGTATCAGATATTACTTTCCACTGGTCAGTCTATCTTTCATCACCTGGCCAAGACACAAAACTCAATTTCTTTGTGCTCTAACATGGTGGAGAAAAGCAGTCATCAGCTAAGTCCCATCAGGAAGTACCAACATGGCTGAGGAGGTGTCAAAAGTAGGGAGGCTCTCTCCCTTCATTCACCCACCATGCCCCAGTGTCCAATCTCTGTGCCCTCCATTCCATTAAATTCCTGGGACTTCAGTCCTTGCAGAAATGCAACAGAACCAGCAAGAGAACGACCCTGACACATATCAGTGACTCGTAGGTGCACACGTGTGTGTGCGTGTGTTTGTGATGTCTCTGCAGAGGAAATTCTTACCCCAGACAGGGAACTTTTCTTGATGAGTGGACCATAATTTAGGAGCAGATAAACATGGCAAATGTTGTGTGAAGAAGATGGAGCGTCTGGGCAGGGTGGTAGCACAAAGCAGATTTCATAGAAAGGGCTGTCCAGGCACCTTCTTTTCCTAAGGATGTTCATCCATAGCAAAGGAGATGTATGAGGGGAGGCCCTCAGAGCCTCTCCAGCCAGCCCTTCATGAGGTCAAGGGTACAGTGCATCCAGCCCTGCAGTCATGCATGGATACAGTGCATCCAGAGCAAGGTTGGTGAAGTGGGGCAAAGGCTTTTATGCTGGGACTGTTGAGTCACAGGAAATATCAAGTAATTTAGAAAACAAGAAAATGTATGGAGTATGGAGAAATAATATCATAATTCAAATCTACTTTACAGTCCTTAGTTACCTGAGAATGGAGCTTTGTTTTGGGATCTTCATTTTCAGAACACTAACATGATTGGCAGGGGCTGATGTGGAGGGCCTACTGGCTAGGGACTCACAGAACCACTTAAACTTGCTATAACTAGGTGTCTAGTTTTCTCACAGTTTCCAAGGACTGGAATATAGACATTTTGGAGCCATTGTTCTGCCTTCTCAACTCACATTTCAGAAGATATAGGAGAAAATATATGTTAGAAGAGAACATCAGGAGCCTGTGAATACAACTTCTGTGATCTGGAGCTCCTCAGTCAGAAATACCCTAACCCTTACTTCAGTTGACCCCATGTCCAGCCCTGCTGCCCCACAGGCAACACTGGCCAAATGTAGCATGGGACAAATGTTTGGCCGCCATTAGTGAAGTTTATTCATGGTGGATTCCTGGGACCCACAGCTGCTGGGCAATAAGAGCCATGGGACCAGCACAGTCCAATACCCCAGTATAAATAAACTCTAGGCACATGTCAGATGACAGGCATGTCTCATTTGTGAACCACCACACACACACACACACACACACACACACACACACACACACACACACACACACACAGTGTGTGTGCATGCACCAACATGCCTGGAGCTCAGGATACAGCACAAATATAAAAGATCTAGTATATAAATAATATTTTAAGTTTACCTTAAAATACAAAAGCAGGCAAACTGAGATTTTAATGCGTTAAGGAGTAAAAGGTATTTGGAGGAAAAAACTGACTTTTTAATTAGTTTTTTAACCCAGAGTCCAATTAGTATGGCAACAAGATGACTTTCAAAAAGCAAACTGACTTCCTTTGCATTTTTCATGTTTCAGGCTAGCATTTTCTTTTGCTTCTTGGTTGCAAAGAGCCAAGAAGTCAGAATATGGTAAGAGACTGGGGTAGAATAACCTCCTCCATTGAGCCATGGATTAGTCCCAGAGTTTTGTCCCCTGGAAGTTGCCCTTCCCAGCCTCTACCACACAGAGCCCCACAAAGAATTACCAAAAAAGGATACCCTGGACCTAGGGTTGCTCCCTGAACCCTCAGGAGCTACCACATGTCCTTCAATCTTGGTGACCATCTGTCTCTGATTTGTTGGCAGACTACAGATCAATTGATGTGTCTGACTGCACCCACCACTTAGAAGGGAAAGTTCCTCCCAAGATGCTCATGTAGGATCACGGATTGCTTCCAGCCCCATCCAACCTCTTAGAACAGTCAGCCCTCATGTTCACTCAGGTAATAGATGAGCAGACAGGGTTGACTTAAGTGGTCAAGGCCTTAAGTCTTTGAGATTCATGACTTCCTTCTGTCTGGGAAGAAATATTGAAATCCTTTGTCAACCTGACAAAGTGGATAAACCCTGGCTCATGTTGGGTACATGGAATACACATTTGGCCTTCTGAATCATCCTAACACTACATTTCAAACAGATGTGTCACTCAAAGCCCAGGGGTTCCATCCCCAGAACTATAGAAATAAAATAAAAATGAAAAGGTCATTTAATTTTTTAAAATAGTGGGAAAATATATATAACACAAAATTTATCATTTTAACCATTTTAAATGTGCAGTTCAGCAGTGTCAAGCAAAGTAACATTGTTAACTTCTTCGGGTTGCAAAACTGGAATTCTCTATTCCCCATTAGGCACACAGAGTTTTTTTAAAGATGTATTTTTATTTTGTGGTTATGAGTGTTTTGCTTGCATATATATGTGTCTGTTCAGCACATGCATATCTGGTCCCCATAGAAGCCAGAAGAGGGTGTTGGAGTCTCTAGGCCTGGGGTTCAGATGGTTTTGTGAGCTGTCATGTGGGTTCTCAGAATCGAGTTTAGGCCCTCTGAAACAGTAGCAAATGCTTTTAACCACTGAACCATCCCTCCAGTCCCAATATGATGACTTTCTGCCAAGGAATTCTACCTCTTGCCATCATCCATGTTTATCCACTTCCATCTTTACCTCTCCTCCTTTTCATTCCCTCTCTTCTTTGTCGTATTCTTCTCACATACACATGCACACACATGAATGTATGCACCCAGATACAGACAACACAGTTCACTTTTGTCTCTTGCTTTCTCTTTCTGACCATTTCTCAAATTGACAGAAGAAACAAATGTCCCCCAATTCACAAATCACCTCCCCCCCCCCCGGGGGGATAGGCTGCTCCTCCTGACATGGTGATGTCCCACCTGGAACTCTCAGACAAGTAGGAGCCTCAGGTCAACTGAGGCATCTAGAAGAAATCTTTTGAACAATACCCACCAGGTTCAGATCTCCTTAAGGGATTATTATGCATCAAAATACATTTCTCTTTCCATTGACCATGGGGAACAAAAGTAGTCCACACTCTGGTGGATCCTCAAGCTGGCTGCAGGTGAAGGTCCATCTTGGGTACCTGAGCAGAGCCCATATTTTACCCCTTTCCTATATTATGAAACTAATAAATAAAAAAGCAAGCAGGGAGGCACACATGAGGAGAGTGTTGGTGACAGCCTTGAACTGATGCTTCTCTTTTATCACAGAGAAAGGCAGACCCAGAAGTGGGAGGGATGCTTCAAGACACCCTTAGATATTTTTACATTCTTGGTTCAACAGGGTGAACTCGCCAATCCAGGGAAGAGCTGCTACCAAAAAGCTGCAGGTGACTCTCTGAAAAAGACAGCAACAATGAACATCAGTAGTATGTCAAAAGGAGAACTACCCTGTTGTTAGGCATCAGTCTAGGAATATGCTGGAATACAGGTCACCAACTGTCCTAAAACTCCAACAATCCCAGCAGAAAATATAAACGTAAAATCACAATCTTCCAAACAACAATAAATGACAAATCAGATACATGATATGACATTAGGACATGCTCAGGGTTGGCATGTTTGTCCTGGTGAACACCTACTATTTTCTGAACATGATAGCCCTTTTTAAAATTCACAATGCAGAGACAACCAGTCAAATACAATGGGACCCACTCTGTTCATTTTACTGGCATTTTTTTTTTTTGCTCAATATAATACAGCAGAGGCTTTCAAAATGTCCCCTGGGAACTTGCTCAGAATGAAAACCCTGCTGAATCAGAAACTACAAATGGGACCCAGCCATCTGCAGGTGGAGCCTCCGTGTGATGCTGGTATCTTCTCATGTTGGAGAACCATCCATGTAAAGAAAGGAAAGAAGACACCTCTAATGAACCAGGCCCTTCACCAACCTCAGCTCCACTGTGGAATGAATAGTCTAGGGCTCCCCACTAACTTGAAGTTCAGGAAGTGGAGGCTGTGTCTAAAAGCCTCATAACCAAGCCAATCATGGCATGGGCTACTCCCTACCCTTCGCAGAAGCCTGGGCTTGAGCCCAGCTCTTACCAACTGAAAGCCCAGGAAGCTATAAGCCAAGAGCTCTCTGAGAAGCTCTCAGCTGATGCACAAATGATAATGGTAAAATGAATACTGTAGCTTCCTCATCTACAAGGTAACCCAAGTCTGAGATGGGCTATGCTTAAAAGGTGAGATGTTGTCTGGTCTAGATATTGCCTAATCTCTAGCATCTGGAATAGGCCTGCTGCAGATGATAGTGCCTGTAATCTATAAGTTTAAATGAGTGCACCAACAGACTTCCTTTGTGCCTACACAGGCCTGAATGATTCACCTCACCAGCTGGCCAAGCTAGTCTCAGTCCAACAGGACAGACTTTCAGTGAACATATGTCAATAGTTTCTCCTGCATCAAAAGTCTGGAGTTGATGGAGCCTTGGAGTGGGAGTGGTCTTGATGGTATTCTGCATCTTCTACTCTGAGGGCAGCAAGGCAGACCATATGGGACTTCAAATGAGGAGCAATGCAGACCTCCTAGAGTGTGGGCACCCTAAGGTTTTCCAACTACCTGGAAACTTTCATAACCCTAGGTTGGACTTGAAGTCACTTGGGGCTTTCATAGATGCCTCATTCACCACTCACCTTTTCCAGTTTGGAGTTTTTTTGAGGGATGCAGTTTTCAGTATTGTTTAAAGGCTTTTTGCAATTGCTGCGGGAGATCTGAACGACAACGTGGTATTCCATTCGGTCTGTGATCTGTCAATGAACAATGGTGTAATTTTAATTTAAAATGTTTTGGTGTGATAGATATGGATCTATTTGCATTCTTCTACATGCCACAATCTAGTTATGCCAGTATCATCTGTTGAAGATGCTTTCTTTTTTCCATTGTATAGTTTTGGCTTCTTTGTCAAAAATCAGGTAATCATAGGCGTGCAGATTAATGTCAGGGTCTTCAGTTTGATTCCATTGATCCACCTGTCTGCTTTTATGCCAATACCAAGCTTTTTTTATTACTATAGTTCTATAGTATAGCTTGTCCCATGGGAGATCTTACCCTCTCTGAGGAGTGGATTGGGGTGGGGTGGGGACAAGGTGAGGGGTAAGGGAGAGGAGGGGAGGGAGGGGGAACTGTGGTTGGTATATAAAGTGAATAAAAACCTTTTAAATAAAAAAAAAATGTTTGGTGTAACTCCCAAATGCTTTGGTGAACACACAAATCCTTCTTCCTTTATCAGGTCTACAGACACCAATAAGGTTGAATTTGATTTTTGCTTCCTCTAAAGATTAGCAAAAGTGACTCTGGCCTGTGTTAGAGGGAAGAAGCTGGTCACAGGACATCATCACCAGCAGAGCTACACATTGGGTTTGGGAGTTAGTGAGAGAGAAAGCTGAGGATACTGTGGAACAGATCATCCTATTCATGCAATCCTCATCCAAAAATCTGAAATAAGAAATACTCTAAAATCTGAAACTTTTAGAGCATCAACATGATGCCGTAAGACAATCCTGCACCTGACCTTTGCCACAGGTTGCAGTCAAGACACAAACACACCCTCTAAATGTTTATTTTATGCCCATAGATTAGCATGGCTCACCACCTGGGTCAGAGATGCTTCTTTTTGCAGTGACTAAGAGTTAATACAGAAACCTATACTGGTCAAATGAATTTTCAGTGATCACCCCTAAACAGGACATCTACATCAGCGCTGCAAAAGCTTAGGGACCATTGTAGAAGAAAGCACAGGAAGAGTATAAACCAGAGGATAGGGAGGGATGCTGTGAGGCGTTGTCTTCTGGATGTGACACAGCCAGTATGCCCTTGAATTCACAGCAGTAGTAGCTATCCACACAAAACCAACCCAAGACTAAGCCCATCAATGTTCCACCGTGAAAAGGATGAGCTCAGGAGGCCCCACCCCTCCCTGGAGAGCTAGGAGCAGTTAATGGCTGCTGGAAGAGGGAGGTCATATTCCTCAGTGGTGTAGCCTCTGTTAAGTTGCCCTTGCTTCAGGAAATAACTCCACACTCATATTTGTGCAGTGGGACACAAAAACCAAAAAGAAGTGAAGATAAGAGGGGTATTGGGATGGAAGGGGCTAAAAATGATAATGGAGGGATATGATCAAAATCATATGAGGCTGTAAAACAGTAAACAAGTAATTACCTTCAGGCTATGTGCATAAGATGTACATGGAACATGAAGGAATTTTTTCTTTAGGTTTGGAACTTATCTCTAAGTTATCTCCTTATTGAATATTGAATATACATTCAAATATTACAGAATCCAAAATGACTTGAAATTCATCCTGTCTCCAACATTTTGGGTAGGAGCTTCTCAGCCTGTAATGGTTTTTGCAGACTTTCATCATGCTGGCTCTGCTAGGCTGTAATTTTAAAATCTCTACCGAGGAGGAGGGAGACCTCAGTGAATAATCAGTCCTCCAGAGTAAGGCTGTCACTCTCTTTTTGTTTTCAAGTACACAAAAGGCAGAGAAAGATTGAGTATGTATCTAGCAGTTGATCCAGGTTTCTAGTGGAAGACTCTCAGCACTAGGGCTCACATCACTTGCCATCTCTGCTAAGCCAGGAAAAGTGAGGCCTTTCTGCTTGTGGCTACAAAGAAATGAGAACATAAGCCAGGAGGCTAGACCCAGCTGTCATGTGGACATCCTGACTGCATCCCCACAACCTCTTTCTATAAATAAGTTGATCAGGATGCTATTTTTAAATTTCCAATTTGGGAGCTAGGGACATAGCACAATAATAACAAAAGGCATGGGTAGATCATCATGAAGATGCTTGGTTCAACCACAATAACAACAACAACAACAACAGGCAATAAAGAAAAAGACATCCTTGCAACTCAAATCTGATCACAGGAATCCTAAGTGCTTCCTAACCTAAATATTTGTGTAGTCCTACAACAAACTGAAAATCTTGGCCCTCCCTGAAGGCCAAACATGGCATGGTGCCATGTTGGGAGCCTTACAGAAAGAATCTAGGATGCCTGGCTGCACTTTCCCGCCCTCGCCTCCCTGGTCCTTCCGCCCGTCCTCTTGCGAAAGATGCTATCAGTATTGTTCCCAAACATAGTGCCAGCTCCTGTGATTCTTGCCTGAGACTTCCTGCTTCCAGCAGGAACCATGGGCAAAAGGGGACTGGTAAATAAATAGCCTAACCACCCACAGGGTGACCCAGCTTGAGTGCACTCTCTCTTCCCAAGGTCAGGAAGAACAACTCTATCAGTCTCATTAACTCATCCTTGGGTCAATCACCTTCCACTGTCATGTTTCCTTTCCCTTCTACCTTGCCAGTGCCTCTCAGGATGGCCTCAAAAATACACCACCTGCCCTTGAATCCTGTCATGATGCTCTGCTTCTAGGGAAACTCACCTCCCAACAGCCTCCCCCACACCATTAACTCCTGCTCTGACTTCAAGCCCTACCTTCAAGGTCACTCCCAAGACAGGGATAGTTCTTGATAACTTTATATATTGGCATCATCTGGAAGAGTTGGACACCTCCTGAGACCTGGACACCGCTTCAAGACTCATTTCATTAGTAGATGTTGTCTGTTTGGTAGGGCATTTACACACTCTACATGTAGAAAACATTGTCTAGTGGAAACTTCCCCTGACATTCTGCTCCCCAGTGCTGTGCCACAACAAAAATAGACAGAATTCTCATTCCTGGCTGAGGGTTTTTTTTTTTTAAGTTGGACTTCTGGCTCCCTATAGTCTGAAGAATGTTGTCCATCTCACCATCCCACCAATAGGAGCTAAGACAAAAAGATCTTATGAGAAATTTACTACTAATAACTGCATGTGCTACCTGAGCACCAAAGAAAGTGAAGGAGAGGCTGTAAAAGAGGGACTGTGGAGTATGAGCAATCAATAAAGGATGCTACAGCAGCATCATGTCCTAGAAACACAATGTTGAAAACATGTTATCCTGAGACTTGGGGAGCTGTTGAAAAATCACACCACCAACCAACTGAGGCTTCAATTTTCAATTCCTAAATTGCAACATTGGAGGGGTGAGGCTTACTATACTAAAGAGAGCAATAAGCATTGTGTTGCAAATTCCAGGAAGCACTGTGCCCATTGGATTTCATGTGAACAGTGTTTCTTAGAGCTGGGCAGTGCATGGCTCTGTGAAAAGGGACACACCTTTATGATAAAATCAAAATGTCTTCATTTCTACTAAGTGCACATTAGGTTAAAACATTAATGCACATAGCTTAGCAGCTCAAAACACATAGCACTCTTGTAGAGGACCTGATTTCAGCTCCCAGAACCCATATGAGTGGCTCATAACTGCCTTAACTCCAGATCCAAGGGGTCCAATGTCTTCTTCTGTCCACCATAGGCAATTGTACACTCCTGAAACATAGGCATGCTTACACATAATTAAAAATAAATTTAAAATTAAAATGAAATAAAATAGTACAGGACACTCCAGTAATTTATCCAATAGACAGTTACATGTCCCTCTATATAACCCATATTCTCTGTTTCATGGAGCACTTGTCTGTGGCAGCAGTATTGCAAAATATTCCTGGTGCTTCATTTTTCTCCTAATCTCAATAAGCACAAGAGCATTCGATTTTCAGTTAAGAGTTAATAAGTTAACATAAGTAGACTAGAACCTGAGTCCAGAACGTGTGGTGTGGTGATATTTTATTTGTGCTGAAATGTGGTGATATTTTATTTGTGCTTTAATAAATAAAGCTTGCCTGGAAAGCAGAGGAATGGTAACAGCCATTATAAGTAAACACAGAAGTCATACAACATTAGCACACACCTTTAATCCTATCACTTGGCAGGCAAGATTTCTGTGTGTTCAAGGCCACACTGGAAACAGAGCCAGGTGTGGTGGCACACACCTTAAATTCCAAAACTAATTAACCCTGAAGGTCTGGAGGTGTGTAAAGACAGACAGGAAGTGACAGGGCTGTGTAGGAAGAGGAAGTGACGTAGCTGAACAGAGAGAGCAAATCAGATGGCAGAACAGCAAGGCGTATAGGCATGGGTACTCAGGAAGTCGCAGCATTTTGGAAACTGCCGAGTTGGTGAGATAAGGTTGGCTGTAGCTTTCCCTATTTCCCTGATCTCTCCCAGGCTTTCACCCCTATATCTGGCTCCATGTTTTTTATTTAATAAGACCATTTTAAAAATTCATCTACAGTGTGGGAAATGCCATGTGAGTATATTGCTTTTGTCACTGTAAGTATGTGCATAACAAGTCACACATTTAGGATTGTGCTACCACCTTTTTTTCTCATTTGTCTACTCTCTCAACCTGGCCTCCACCTGTGCCACCATATGTTGATGTCCTACCTGATTAGAACTTTCTTACCTGAAGCTTGGCATGCAATATCTTGTCCACAAGGAAGACGTACTTGTCCCCACTTCCTTTGTTGTATTCTCTCATAGCAAACCATACACACTGCTTCACATTGGCATTCGAGGTACTGATGGATTCAAAGTACCTCAACGCCTTCACTTCATTCTTGGATTGATCCACACCAACTGCCAGAGCCACTGGAATGATGAGGATGAGCATGAAGAGCCACAAGTATTTTGTCATGGTCCCTCGGTGAAAAGGTACAGGAGGTGTATCCTCTTGGAGCTTGAGCTGCCCTGGAGCAGCCGCAGAAGCCGCTGTAGGTCTGTCAAACTAAGTAACACAGACAGAAATGCTCTCTGAAGATTGCTGATTGGTGGGGCCGTGAGGATTGCTCAGAGGGTTAAGGCACTTGCTGCTGAATCTGAAGACCTGAGTTCAATCCTGGGACCCACACAGTGGAAGAAAAGAAGCAACTCCTGAAAGTTTTCCTCTAACTTCCACATGCATGTTGTGGCATGTGTGATGCACACACTCACACATACACAATGAATGTTTTTTAAAATATTGATTATGGGTCTGGGGAGATGCCTCAGTGGGTGAAAGCACTTGTAGTGGAAGCTTGAGGATGGAGGTTCAGATCCCCAGTATTCACATAAATGCAGGGTGAGTGTCATGGCCTGTTTATGAGTCTGGCATACTGCAGACAGACAGAAAATCAAGATAGCTAGCTAAACTAGCCAAATTCTTGAGCTCTGATTTCAAGTGAGAAATCCTGCCTCAATATATAAGGTGGAGAGTCAATGAAAAAATATCTGATGTCAGCCTCTTACCTCCACACATATAAACACACAGGTGCACAAGTAACACACACACACACACACACACACACACACACACACACACATCATGAATATACACATGTGTGAACAGGACCCCTTATACACATGCAAAACATCTTCATTATATTTACTTGGGGGCAGCAGAGCCTTGCAATGGGAAGATGTGCTCCTTAAGAAACACTGAGCATATTCAAGGAGGCTGAAACAAAAAATGTTTAAAAGCAAAATGAGGAGGGTTAGATCAGACTTTGAAAATGAACTTGTAGTTGCAAGAATCAGTAATGAAGACGGCATCAGTCCAAGGTTAAATACACAACAGTGGGGAGCTGTCCTTCCACATGTATCTTCTGTGGAAGGCTGAAAGGCTTTTGTACAAGATTATGGTCCGGGCAGAATCTCTGAGAACTGTTTCTGTTATCAGCATACAGTACAAGGTCAGCCTCCCCGTCAGAGCCTCTAGCTTTATGTTTCATTTGTGGATCTACTTAAGGTTCAACAAAATGACTCCATTTTGCTTCTGATGTATTTTGCACTTTAAGGATGGTACAAGAACCCACCTTCTCAGTATCAGTATAGCTGGATTCAAGACATGGCTCTTTGGATACCCTTGAGAGCCACCTCTCTTTGTCTAAGAAAATCTACCAATAGCACCCCCAGTTAAAGGGGCTCTGCCACTGGCCTTTGCCTCCATCCTGGGTACAATCCATTCATCTAGAGAAACATCCCCTCCAGGGAGACCCTGACATGTTTTCACATGGCCCCATGCCTGCCACCACCTACTGTATCCTGTAAGCTAGAACTATGAAAGTTGGCATGCCCCAGTGTTCTCTGGCCCTACCCTTCTATGACTGTCCAACCTGCTTGTCCTGCTGGACTCCTTCTTTACTCTGGCCACTCCAGCTTGTGGTTCTTCTGGGTCTCTGGCACTCTCAGCTCACACTTATGTCCTGGCCAGGCAGCTCTGTAAGTCCTGACCCTGAGGCCCAGGCCCTACATGGAGGCCATGCTTTATGATGCAATATAACATCTGTGACTATGCCTCATAGCAGCACCCTTCGTCTGTTCAGCCTCTAGCCTTTGGCTCCAAAGCAACTCAGAGGGCTGGAGGAAGCAGGAAAGTATCTTCCACTTGGGGAACTCATGTGGCTACTTGTGCCTACCTCAGCCTATCGGATCCCTGGCCCCTCAGCTCCATTGTGCTTGGGCCAGCAGCTTCTCCCTCCACTGTTCTACCAAACCTGAGCCTGAGAGGGAGGAGGCAGGCTGCCCAGGTGTGATCTTACAGATTCTGCTTTTCTGTGAAGGTCTGAAATTCAAGTCTAGTTAATTCCTGGAGGGACAGCAAAGTGAATATGCACCCCAGGCTGCAAAGACTGAGAGTTTTTTGACCATGTAGTATAGGCAACTTGTAAAACACTGTTTTTAAACTCTCTTCCACTGGATTATTTGGAGGCTTCTCATTCTCTGCTGTGGCCAAGAGTAATGTGCTGAAGGCTTCTTAAGTGTCTTTGAAAAATCACGCAAAGAACTAGATGGGGATTGTTTACAAGAGCTGCACAGGAATACAAATTTACTATCCATCACCAAATCTCTACTCACTAAAAATGTGTTCATCGTTTTTAAATTTTACTCCATTGAAAAATCACATGTGAGGCTGGAGAGCTCTCAGCAGTTAAGATCACTTGTTCTTGAGGACTCAGGTTCACTTCCCAGCTCCCACATGGTGGTTCACAACTGTAACACAAATCCCAAGGGATCCGACACCCTCTTCTGACCTACTTAGACACCAGGCACACATGTGGTGCATCTATTCGGGGAAAACACTCAAACACATAAAATAGTAAGATTATTCTAAAAGAATTGAAGCATTTAGGGGAGTCTTGGTACTCCAGGCCACACTTTACCAATAAAATCAGAGGATCTGGTCCCACTGCAACAACAACAACAAAAAAAAATCAGAGGATCTGGAAGTAGAGTCAGAAAATTCATTTTTAAATTTCACCGGGAGGCCAGTGTGCTATCAACTTTGAAAACTGGTAGAGTGCACCTCATTTAGGGACTGTTAATGTGAACCCAAAGCCCTGCAGAGCCTGTTCAAATGTAAACACTAATTTGTAGCTCAGGAGTCAGGCCTGAGAGTCTGCATTTCAGATCACAATTTGAGTAGGGAGATACTGAGTTGTGACAATACTCAGCCTATTATCTTCAGCCTAATTATACTTTCTCAGTTGTCTAGAAGAACAATTATTTTTTTTTTTATAAATCTCAGTGTCATTTATTGAAACATGCACATTTTTCAATGTCATAGTAAAATAATAGTCCCCTTGGCTTGGGCAACCAAGTCACACTCGCGGTTGACAATGCATTTCCCAGTTCTTACAACAGGGTTCCTCTCTAATTCCTTGCCTGAGGTTCTGGCCACTTCTCCCTCATACAAAATTCTGTATCCCTGTATATTGTCTCACGACAGTATAAAATCCTCTTGCAGGTGCATATTGTCTTGGGAGGTGCTAGAATATAGAGAGAGTGGAAGTTAATTACACGAGGACTTCGCTATGCAGCTATTGGGAAATAATCATCAACAGTGCTATGATGAAATGTTTTGGTGATGTAAAAGTCTGTGATCCCCTATGCTGCCATAAGAAAGTTCTGTAAACTCAGAACTTTACCAAACAATATGGGCAGAACCATTAGTTTGGTCTGTTGTTGGTTTCCCATCTCAGGTGTATAAATATTTGATATCTCTCCAAGAATAGTTATGGAAACAGTCATTTCCTAATGTAATTAGTAATGTAGACAAATATAAGAGTAATATTTAAATACATCTACATGCACATCTTTCTACTGTTTGAGTTTTCCTGTTCTCAGATATGTTCTATTTTATTTTAGTTTTGATAAATGTAGAAGTTCTACATGCATACCTATTTAGAAACAACTAGTTTATTCTCATGAAAATAATAGTGGCCAGAGACAGAGACCTAGGTAGGGGAATGCTGTTTTGATTTCTTCTAAAAATTTGAAATTGTTAAGAATAATTATTTATGGCATAACTATGACCAGAAAGACATAATATGGAAATATTTTGGTTTTGGCTTGATGTTTTAAATTTTACTTTTATTATTTTAAAAATCATGAATATATATTTCTGCATAGGTATGCAAGGGGATAGCTTTTTTTGAAAATACTTCTTGGTTGTTTTTTTTTTGTTTTTTTTTTAATTTATTTTAATTTATTTTGCAACACAATTCAGTTCTACATATCAGTCACGGATTCCCTTGTTCTCCCCCCTCCCGTCCCCCTCACCATCCCCCCAACGCCCCCCCCCCATTCCCATCTCCTCCAGGGCAAAGCCTTCCCCACAGACTGAGGTCAACCTGGTAGACTCAGTCCAGGTAGGTCTAGTACCCTCCTCCCAGGCCAAGCCAAACAATCCTGCATAGGCCCCAGGTTTCAAACAGCCAACCATGGAACCTTCTCTAAAATTGACCACATACTTGGCCACCAGAAGAACAATTATTGACTTGATTTCTTCTGCACCATTTATATTATTCCCAAGGTTAGGCATGTTTCTCACAGAATGTCTTCTGCTGATAATGTCTCATTCATTTAAGCCATTTTCTATGTGCAGTCTTTGTCCTTTATAAATTAATATCAAGAACCATAAAGGATAATAGAACAATTAATGTTTGGTTTTTAAATACACAAAGTCTGCTGTCCAACGCACTTTCCATCTTGTGAATTTATTTGTATTTTATTTTTGTTATTTTTTTCATTATAACTTAAATTTTTTCAAAGTAATATTTAATTTAATTCATTTTTGAAAGATCTCATCATGCATAAAATGTATTTTGATCTTATCCACTTCCACTAAATCCTTCAAACTACCCTGGAACCCATCAATCTATCTCCTTCCCAACCTCATGCCATTTTATATCATTATTATCATCATTATTAATCCCCTGAGTCCATTTGGTACAGATCATATATTAATTGATGTGAGGCCATGCACTGGGACATAGGCAACCTGCCAATAGCCACCCCCAAAAATCAGGAACCTTCCTGAAGTGAAATGGGACCCAACATTCAAGTATATGAACCTATTGAAGCAGCCAATACCCCACAATGGGGTAACTGTCATCTCATTTTTATCTTTGTTTAGCATGGTGGTCCTTCAGTCTATCAATGTTGTGGCAAATGGTAGAATCTCTTTCTAAGGCTGAATAGTATTCCTTTGTGTACATGTACCACATTTTCTTGATCTCTTGACTCATTCAGGCATTTCAATCATTTCCAACTTAGCTATTATGAGTAATGCTTCAATGAGCAAGGCAATACAGAATCTTTAATAGTTATTTCATCTCCTTTGGGCACATACCCAGAGGAATGACTACAGTGGTAAATAGTTTCAAAGCACCTAATAAAATTTAAAACAAAGCTACCATTTAATTGAAGACAAGTGTGACAGATATAGCATGTACCAGCCCTAATAATGAGCTCCAAGCATGGACTCAGTGAAGTTGACAAGAGGATCTTGTTTTTCATACTGTGGGGGCTAGGATCAGTCAAATAGGGACCACAAGCAAACACCACTTGAAGTTACCATCGTTTGTAAGATACTGGGTTTCTTCAGAGAGCTGTCTTACAACTTTAGCCAATCAACTAATGTATTATGTACTCGGGACATTGGATCTCTAAATTTTTTACTGTAATAGAGACAGATGTCTGATCTAATCTCTCAAAGAAATGCAAAATGAACCAAGGAGGATTTTGTGTGTATCAAGGCAGAAAGCAGTTGGCATGTCATGAAAACTAAGCAGGTCAGGAACCTTTCTGAAGTGAAATAAGAGTTGCTAATGAAGGTGTTCCTTCCTAGGAGCAATGCTGATCAGAAAGGGCATTGGGTCCATGGACAAGAATGCCACTCTTTAAGTTTGAGAACTCTCATAATAAGAATCCAGCTGTGCTGACCACACAGCTGCAACATTGTAATACAAGCATGACAGATGTTGAGGTGTTACAAATCCTATACACATGTCAGAAGGCCAAAGCCAGCTGTTGTGTTGTGCAGAACTCCTTCTAAAACCCTTGTCCATGAGTACTATGACGAACTCACAGGAATAGGAAGACCAGGAAAGAATTGACTCTACCATAGATGGCTGATGTTGAAGTTTCCAGAGACCCAAAGTGTAGAGGAAAGATCATACAGACTTCCATTCTGAGTATTCCTCCAGACAGTACTGCCATGGCCTTCTCTACTCTGTATGTCCCACCCTCTCACTTGCCAATCTCATGTCCCTCCAAGGCCATTCCCAGAATCTGAAGAGGGAGACTTAGTGTTACTCAGCCTGGAGGCAGCACAGTGCCTCTCTTGAGACAGTCAATGGTGCTGAAAGTTATAGAAGCTGAAATGGGACCTGAGTGGGAACATGGGCTTCCAGAAGCAGGTGGTATTGGTGGAAGTATTAAGGCAACTTCACGTAGTTAAAAGGGAGGTTTGTTTGGGGGTTTTACTTACAACAAGTAAAAGGGTAGGTTAAAGGATCCAGGAGTGGTGAAGTGCAGTCCAGCTGTGTTCTCTGGAAAACTCTGCTCAGTCTACCATCCAACATCCAGGATTATCAGGAACAAGAGAGCTGGCACATCCAGATCTCGGCTCTTAAGGGCTCCTGTCTCGCCCCACCTCAGGAGCAGACCATGGGTAGGCGTGACAGTTACTGGAAGCCTCACTGGGGGTAGTACTTCCAGGTCAAAGCTGGAACATCTACCCACTACAAGGTGGGAACATTGAGACTAAGCTACTGTTTCTTAAACTGTCATGCCAACCATGAGAAAATATTCTTGTCAGTAGCTATCAATGTCCATAAGGGTAGAATCTCTGTCATTTTCAGTTTCCAATACACACACACACACACACACACACACACCCCATGGCCTATCTCCAATCCTCTGCAGAAGAGTCACCCACTGTGATCCAGGTCCCTGAGATTAAAATAGAGAGGAATGCAGGTGGCACTGCTTCCTAGAAGAATGTCTTCCTGCCTTCTGAGCACATGAATGAGGGACATGGAGAAATTGTAGAATGAATGAATGAACTACACACAAACATGAAATGATAGAAAAATTAATGAATGAAACATTGAAATAAAAAAATGAACCATTTCACCAAATCTATTCAACACTCTGCACCTGCAGTTATGGTGATAATAACGACAATAAAGTCGCCATTGCTTACCAATAACAATGGCATCCATGGCAAATAGACAATACAGAAAACCTTAAACACTGTTCAGAGATCCAGAATGTTCTGTGATAACTTTAATTGTGTTGGTTCTAAATAGACCTTAAACTACAGGCAGTCACCTTCAGAGGAAAGGGGACTTTGGCTGCAGGTACACAGAGACCTCTGCCCCCATTTAAGTCTGCACACAGGTACTGTTCAAGATGATGAACTGAGTCTTCCATGCTAGAGACTCCAAAATATAAGTGCAGCGTACCTGAAAAAAAGTTACAAAGCATAAATTAGAAAAATGCAATGCATTAAGGCTATCTAGATAGTAGGGGCTCAATTTGCTCAAAACTAAGTTTTAAAAAAGAAGAAAAGGAAACTAAAACACATTGACCTAGAGAAAGACTCATAAAGCTCAAAGCTCCACCATGAGAAATGACATAAGTTACAAAAATCTCCCCAACCTGAGCCTTCGATCTCCTGAAAAAGCACCTAGCCAGGACCATCACCCATCTTAAGGCATTCTAGCCTCACAACTTCCTTAACACATACGGTGGTAGACGAATTTATATGTCTTCCCAAGGGCCCTGGAAATTAGGCTAAACAAAGGCTGTTAGTTGAAAGGTGAGATGACCCCCTCATAGAATCCCCCTGATGGGTAACTATTCACAAGGTCCAAGATCCCATGGATCACATGTCAGCTATAGGACAGAATTCTTGTCACCAAGAATCACCCTTAAGACCCTAAAAGGAAAGTCTGAGTGAGCAGACAAACTAAACAATTCTCATCCCTCTGCCCTGCACCAAAAAATGAACAGTTGAAGACTGATGACCAAAGGGAAATCATGATCTTCCTGGACCTTCAAAGGTCTCTGAAGGCATAGGGCTGCCCCAGCACTGGGAGATAGGCTCTGCCTGCTTAAGATGGTCCCCTTCTGCACTCTTTCCCAAAAGATTGCTGATAGAAGGGGTTAATTTAATCTCAAACCTTTTTCTCTCCTTGGCCTTCCTGTAATGGGCAATTGTCAATGTCTTCATCATATTTCCCACAAATTGTACGGCCCATCTCCAGGTCTATTAAATATACAAATGTATCACTGCTCTGTCAAGAAGAAAGTGTAAAACGGTTAGAAAACATTTCGTTAGGATAAGTGAAAGAGAACTCAATATAAAAGCAAGCAGAAAATGTGAGAGTTCAACAAACAGCAAAAAATAGCACATAGCACACACAATCTCGTTTCTCTGTTGTTTTGTGGAGACGGAGTTGTTTGTTGTAAGTTTTTCTTTCTTTGATAGTGTCATTTGGCTCTTTTAGACAAGGTCGGTATAGCCCAAGATGATATCCAACTTTCAATTTTAATGCCCCTCAGCTTCACAAGTGCTAGGGTTGCAGGCATGCTCTTCCACAGCCTGCCTCTTTTTAACCTTTTTTTTTTTTTTCAAAATTTTCCTTTAATTCTACACAAGAGATATGTCCATTTACCTAAGGATATAGCTCAGTGGGAAAGTGTGTGCTGAGCATGTTCAAAGAAGAAAGTTGGTCCCCAGAGCTGCCAAATATCTAAGAAGTACAACTAGGGCTAGCACTGAGTCTCCCCTCGGTCTTTTTCTACTGGTAAATACCTAAAAGTCCTACTGACAGGATGGGAGTATCCAGCATGCCACATAGCCACATACTCAAGCTCACAGCAAAGACCCTGTACATGGTACAGCCACACACATGACACTATGACAATTAAGTTCACCTAAGCAGCATCAGAGGTACCTGCTGAGTGAATGATTCTTTGACCTAGAATAGAACCCTGGTGAGACAGCCTGCCATGAGCAGGGAGAGCAGAGAACACATCAGCCCCTTTAAGTTTTATCTTCCATGTAGGTGCTGACTATACAGAGAACTCATCTTGCAAGTACTTAAATGAAGTGGTTATCAAGTATCCCAATAGCATTCTCAGTAACTTATCAAACCCCTATCCAGGGTATTTCCTTAAACAGAGGTGGCTACTCAGATTGCTTCGTTCCTTCCACAGATCCTCTTGTTCTGTTTTTGCTGTTGTTTGATTGTTTATTTGATAGTGTTCCTGCCCATTTATATCAGAAAAAGAAAAAACAAACCTTCTAGGGTCCCTCCTTGGCACCACTCACTTTTCAGCCAGGTCAGCACACACCACATCTGCTCCAACACTCACTCCGTGTGGATCAAGGCACCATTCTTTCTAACATGGTCTGAAGCTTCTTGTCCAGTGGCAGTGTGGGCCACTACACTCAGTAATCCTTCAAAGCTTGGTGGTCCACAGGAGGAGCACCGCTCAGGGGATTCCTAGTGCTCCCAGCTTGGCATCCTTACTGCTATACCCGCTTCTGCACACCTGCATCTCAGTATTTCCTTCCCCAAGACACAAGTCATAGAGCGCAGTACATCCTTCCAGGAGACTCGGGTCTCCTGAGTACACTTGGTTCATCCTCCTTCAAAGGTCTGTCTGTGACAACCTACACTTCCCACCCGCCCGAAGAGCCGTCATCACCTTCTTTCCTTCTTCAGCACCCAGGACTCCTGTGTCACTGGACTCACCCCACCTGGACTACTATTTTACTCACGGATTTGCGGTCAGCTTACCTATGTTTTCACTCAGCATAGCAGTCTGCCTACCTGAGCATCCTCTCAGCCGTGATGTCGATGTTACCAGGTACCCAACATACATCCCCACCTTGCTGAGCAATGCCCAGCTCGTCCAGCTTCCCAAGGGTACCGGTCACCCTGCCACACTTGCTGCCAACTGTCTACTGTGTGGGGATTTGTTGCTTCTCATTTCTGTGCCTGTGACTCTCATCACCTGTCTCTCTGCTGTCCCGGCTTCCCTCAGTCCTGATTCGATTCCCCTCATCCTGAACTCAGATTGGGACATTGATGCCTCCCTTCTACCTTGCTTTCCAGAGGCTGCACTCACTTTAAAATAAGCCCCAAATGATGAGTTTTTCTAGTACTATTTGTTATTTCTTTTTTTTAACATTTACCAAATGAAAGCCTTGGTTTCAACTTACTGCAAACCCAGAAGTCCCCCAGCCCTGCCAGGTACTGGAATGAATGCAGGCACCACACAGGAAGCAGGTTACTCACATGACACTGACTTCTCCGGACTCTCAGGAACTTGTAGGCAAAATCATCATCCTGGTTTTCATTGAAGTGGAACACGACATGCTCCACAGAAATGGCAAAATATGCCTCATTCTTGTCGATGTCTACAAATTTGAAGCTGCAATAATGAATCCCCAGCACAACAAGCCCCACAAGCAGAAACACCTTCCACAACATGGCTGTCTTCCGTGTCAGCACTGGGAGCTGAGGATGCATGGGTGGAGAGGTGGCGCAGCTGCAGATGGTGATGCCATCCCACATGGCCCTGCCCACCAGAGGGCCTGTGGTGTTCAAATCCTAATTTTGACTAGAGCATCTAGCCAGTGTTATCTCTACTCCTCCACCTTGTCCCTCCCTTCATCTGAGAGCAGAAGGCAGAAGAGGAGGTTACATTTTCTATACCTTGGTGACATAAGCCATAGGCTCATGGGCATTCATGCAACATACCCTTTGCCTGCGCATTTCCAAGCCTGCCTCCCCCAGCCCCAGCATGCTCTGATAAGAACTAATGGGAAGTTTGTGATTATAAGTCCAACTGGCTTACCCTTACTGCTCTGAATTCCAGAACTGGCAGAGTCACAGAAACTCCCATGAGGTAAAACAGGTCTTAAATATTTGGAGTTAAGAATCAAGTGCCCATGATTTTGTAGCCCAGTGGGTGGGGTCACAGTCAGGACTGGGAAATCATCTTCTCTACCATCTCTGCAGTATAGAGGCCAGCTCATCACCTCTGCCTCCTTCCCTGAGATCTGCCCTGTCTGCACTTTGCAACCAGTACCAGGGAGAATCAGAATGGGAGGCAGTGGGTCTGTACAGATGGGCACAAATGGCAGCCATGGGCCTAAAAGCTGGCTGAACTCAGAAAGAGGTACCTACTAATATATCCACATGCAGCTCTACCACTTGGCCCTGTGCCAGACTTCTCAGGAAATACTCTGCCTCACTTATGGAGAAACTGATGAGAGGTGAATAAGGCAATGGGATGAGTAGGCTGGAAAGATATGAAGGTGGCCATCATGGGAAAGGACTTATGCTCAAATGGTCCTCCCTGCCATGGGAGACCAGGATACTTGAACTTCGATGATTCCAAAAAATGACCCAGAGCTGGCCGGTGGTGGTGTATGCCTTTAATCCAAGCACTTGGGAGGCAGAGGCAGGCAGATCTCTTTGAGTTTGAGGCCAGCCTGGGCTACAGAGTAAGTTCCAGGACAGGCTCCAAAACTACACCGAGAAAACCCTGTCTCAAAAAACCAAAAAAGAAAAAAAAAAAAAAGACCCAGAACTTAACCATTGCCTGGGGGCAGAGTAGGAGCAGAACTACAGAAAGGGACAGGAAGGGCTGTGGACATAATTGCAAATGCTTTCCTGCAGCTTCCAAGTGGGAAAAAATGATCTCACAAGATGGCCTGATGATGGATGCTGTCCTAGCTAGGTTTCTACTGCTGTGATAAAGCAACATGATAAAAATGGATTTGAGGAGGAAAGGGTTTATTTCATCTTACAGCTTGTAATCCATCATCTAGAGAAGTCAGGGCAGGAACTCAGAGCAGGAAGCTGGAGAAAGGGACTGACACAGAGGCCATGGGTGAATGCTGCATACTGGCTTGCTCAGCCTTCTTACACAACTCAGGACTGCCTCACGGGGATGGCACCACCCACGGTGGGCTGGGCCCTCCCACATCAATCATTAATCAAGAAACTGTCCTACAGACTTGCCTACAGGCCATCTAATGGAAACATTTTCTCAGCTGAATTTCCTCTTTCCAGATAACTCCAGCTTGTGTCAAATTCACAAAAAAAAAAAAAAAACACAACCAAGACTGATGATGATGGTAAGGGGGTCTAAAAATGCAGACATCCTTCCCCCCAGTAGCACTTCAAAGCATTCCTGAACCCCTTGGCTTCCCCACCACAGTAGATGCAAGCTCCTATATCTTATTAAATCCCCCTTCCTAGTAGCAATCTGATCATAACTTACTGTCCTCTCTCTAATGTCTCCAGATCTGCACAGAAGCCCCTTATCATTGCAGCTGGTGATTTGACTGTTTTCTCCAAATCTGGATTTAGCTTGCCAAAGGTTAGCAACTGTGTTATCCCTCCTGAAGGACTGGCCCCTGGATTTCTTAACCATTTCTATCCACCTTTGTTTTCTGTTTTTCTTTTAGGTATTTTTGTCATAATCCGCTACCCCTACCCTGTAGTTTTTCCAGATTCAAACAAGAATTAGAGAGGGAGCCATCTTGAGATAGAATCCAATGCAATCATCTGCTGTCTTGTCTGCTCTCTGGCTTGTACACTCCCACATGTATAATATGTCTCTTGAAGTTCTGTAGCAGCAGGATCCACTCATTTGTTACTTAAGAACTTATTGGGGGGCTTGGGAGATGGCTACAGCACTTGCCACGCCAACATAAGAATCTGAATTCAAATCCTCAGAGGCCACGTGAATCCAGTTATGGTCATTTATATCAGCAGTCCCCGTGTTCCTACTGCAAGATGGGAAGAAGAGAAAGGACAGTCCCCTGCAGCTCATCAGCCGCTTAACCTGGCACACTCACCAGTGGACAACAGAAGATTGCCCATTTCAAAAAAGATTCTAAGTGAGAACCAACACCCAAGGTTGCCCTTGGACCCATACACATGAGCCATGGAACCCACACACCAGCACTTCACACACACACACACACACACACACACACACACACACACACACACACATCATACATGCAAAGTTTGGGTGTTTTTTTTTTCATAAAGAAATACGAATGAGGAATGGAGAGATGACTCAGTGATTGGGAGTATTTACTGCTCTTCCAAAAGACTGGAGTTTGGTTCCCAGCACCTATGTCAGGAAGCTCTGCAGGCACTTGTACTCATATGTATATACCCACATACAGACACACACATGGACATACACATATAGACACACATATACATGATTAAAATAATAAAAAACATAATCTTTTTTAAAGTAAGAATGTTTCAATTATGTATTTTTAAAAATATCCTGTCCTACTTGGGTTCACTCTACTATCCTGTGTATCACTTGAGATATACAGCTAAATTTTCAAGTATTTCCCTTCTTAGTTTCTAGATAAATTTCACTGCCATCAGAGAACACAATCTAGGTGACATCCATTCTCTGAAATTCATGAAGATGTAAATTATGGGCCAGAACATGCTAAGTTTTGATAAATTATCCACAGGTTCAAAGGTCAGAGTGCATGTTCTGAACTTAGATGATGCTCTGTGTAACACAAATTTGTTTAATAAATTCTCACATTTTGTATATCCTTCGTGATTTTTACTCTGTGGATCTGTCAGTTACTGAGGAAAGCACCTGAAACTCTCGCATTAGAATCACGTGTTTATTTCTAGCCCTATCAGACAGCCCGTGGTATTCAGGAGGGCAAGACCTCCTATCCTGTCATTTACTCCTTCCCACCACCCCTGAGCCCGGGACAGGTCCCACTGCAGAGTGGACACCACTGTGAGCCTGATTCCTGACACAGAAGGAGTGGGGAGACAGATGACTGCTCCCTGGAAGAGTGGTTTGTATTCCTTCTTTTTCTTTTCCTTCGTCGATTGTAACATCACTGTAGTGCCTAAGCTGGTCTCCAGCTTGTGGGTTTCCAAGAGCCTCCCCTTCCCTTCCTGTATAGTGCTGGACTAGAGGTGGGCATCACTAAGCCTGGCTTCTGCATTCCTTATGAATGCATAGGTAAGAGGCACAGAGAAATGAATGAGTGAATGAATGAATGAATGAATGAATGAATGAATGAATGAGTGAGTGAATGAGAACACAAATCAATCAGTAGGGTCCATATGTGAGCTGTTTCACATAAACTGAGGAGTCTGATTTACGAAGACATTCATACCTGAGGCAAGGCGATAAAAAAAAAGACAACTGCAGCCAGGTGGTGGTGGCACATGCTTTTAATCCCAGCACTCGGGAGGCAGAGGCAGGTGAATCTCTATGAGTTCCAGTCCAGCTTGGTCTACAGAGCTAGTTCCGAGACAGCCAGGGCTACACCCACATACACTCATACATACACACACACACACACACACACACACACACACACACACACACACACACATGACAATTGCTTATCACTAAAGATGTTATCCATGGAAAGTAGACAATACAGAAGACCCTAAGCATTGCTCAGGGGTTCAGAAGATGCTGTGAGATTGCTTCTAATTGCATTGTAGACCTTGGACTACAGATAGTCACACTCTCATGAAGGGATACAACTGTATGTAGCCAGAGCCCCTCTCCTACTTATGTTGGCACACAGGTGCTATTCAGGATGGAGAATCGAGAAAACCAAGGTCGGGCATCCACTTGGAAAACACAGTGCACCTGAAAAAATAATCACAATAAGTAAGTTAGAACATTATAATGCATTGAGATAATACAGCATGCCATAGGATCTCAAGATGCAATTAAATTTTTTTTTTCAAAAGTAAAGCTGAAACAGCCATTTTACAGGAGTGGGAACCATAAAGCTCAAATCTCCACTAGTACAATGGCCACAAGTCACAAACTCCTTCTACCTAAGACAAAGGGGTCTTAAAAAAGCACCTGCCTGGGGGCTTCACCCTGAGGCATCCTGTCCTCACAGCTCACCACTCTCATTCCACCCTACAACATATGACGATGGATGAGCTTCTCTATCCCAAGGATCCTGAAAGAACCAAGGGACTACTTGAAAGAAGATCCCATCAGGCACTTCCCAGCTGAACAGCAGCACAAACCACTCAAAATGCATCTGCTGCAAGGCCATTAGTTGGAAGGTGAAACCAAACACTAACATAGTCCCCCAAATGGAAAGCTACCCTCAAGGTCCCAGATCCCATGGATTACGGGCCATGCAGAACAATGATGTCACTCAGAATCACCCAGACTCTATCAGAAAGTCAGAGTATGCAGATAAATTAAATAGCTCCTAACTCCAAGACATGAGCAAAGGAAGGCTGATGACCACAGGAGGAATTTTGTCTCCTCAAATCCTGATGGCTTCTAAAGGCACAAGTCCCAGACCACGAGGATAGCTCTGTCACAGATGGAAGCCGTGTGGGCATCTGCAGCAGAGGGATGCCACAGGCATGGGAGCCAGGCTCTGTCTGCTCAAGATGAGCCCTTCTGTGTGGCTTCTGGTAGGTCAACCACACTCCAGTGCATGACCCCACACTCAAAAATAGATGGATAGCACAAGCTGGAATTGAGTGAGTTAATAAAAATAGGACATAAAGTTGGGAACTAAAGGTGGATCTGAGCAAGTTAGGGGAGAACTGAGGAGAGAATATGATCCAAATGCATTGTACAAAATTCTCAAAGAATTAACACGGGGAGAAGATCACCCCTTGTGCTTCCAGTGAGGGAGCCCTGAGATGTGCACTCATTCTGCCTGGATTGCCCCACGCCTTCCCTAAACCTGTCTCGGGCTTTGCTTCATTATCTTTTCATTTCCAAAAGAGCAGTTGTAAATTGGGGATGGCTTTATTATCTAACCTTTTTCTCTCCTGAGCCATGTAGCAATGGGCAATTATGGATGTTTTCATCATGTTTCTTACAAATTGTGCGGCCCATCTCCAAATCCATTAAAAATATCATTGTCCATGTCTGTAGAAAAGAAATTATGCAAATAGATCTTATTTTTCATAACATAAATACAAAAACAAGAAGAAAATCAAGTAAACAATGGCCCAATGCCTAGAACATGCATGTGCTTATAAACAGGCATCTTTATGGCACATCCTGTCATTGTATGTCAATACAAATGTGTCTATGAGAGCCACAAAACATATACCAGTCTTCTTCCAGTATTTCCTGCTGAACTCTGGCACTCTACAGGGGCATAGACGTGTAGGGTATGGTACATTTAGAGGATGACAATCAAATCCTACAGAACAGGCAACCTGCACAGGCTGCAGCCATCCATGGCGATGTGACATATCCCAAACATTTACTTGAGCAGCATGGGCCAGATGAAGAAATCAGATTAAGAAATGGGCTGGATTAAATTGCTAAGCAACTCCTTTAACTAGAACAGAAAGCAGACACAATTCCACCTTTGCGGGAGTATGAGGAGCTTGGGGGTTGTATTGCCTTTCACATGAGTGCTGGCAGCACACAAGTGCTCCTTTTAGAGACACAGACTGAAGTGAATGCACAGACACTACCCAGTTTTGAAATTCTCTCAAGATGCTGTGGGAAGTTATTGAGAATGACTGTCACACCCTTAAATAGAGATACATGGAAACTCAGAGAGCACCCAACAGGAACTAACATGGAAATTGCCCAAAAAGCTGACTAAACTAGGCACTTAGGAATCTGTGCAGGTAAAGGTAATATCCATGCTTGCCCAGCACACACCAAATACACAACACACTTCAGCAAAACATACTATCAGTGTTTACCTACATCTATGCTTGACACATACTAAGAACATATTTGCTCCATCACATCACACCACCATGTTCAGTCTCATATGATGAGCTAAGCCTGCATCTCTAGGGCTGTGCAGCAGCTAGAGGAGGTAGAATATTTGATACCAAGGGCCCCCGGGGCACAGTGCCCAGGGCTAACAACAGCCCAAGACAGAGTCATTTAGGGAATACGAAAAGCTGTCCTTGGTAAGGGAGGGTCTCCAGACCCATGGCTGTAGAGTATGCTGCAGACCCAGTACTCTCTCATCAGTCCCTGCCAATGCTCCCCCACCCCAGGTCTGTTCATGAAGGCATAATGCTCTGCACATGGACTCACCTTTTTCTGGGCTCTCCCAACTTCCAGCAACCTGTATATGTTCTCTTCTGGGTTATTGTCATTGAACTGAGCCACAGCAAACTCCACTGATGCCACAAAATAATCTAGATCCTTAGTAACGTCTACAAATTCTTTGTCAGTGGTCCACATATGAGTGCCTAGCACAATCAGTCCTACAAGCAGGGACAGCTTCCACAACATGGCTGCCCTTTGTCCTTTACACAAGGGGAAAGGGATGGAACAGCCACAGTTGGTAACGCCCTTCTCAGCTCAGGATCCCACATAGCCCTGCCCATCAGAGGCCTGTGCTCCCGAATGCCTCCTTTTGTGCTTCTGTCTAAGCCCTTATCTCCACTCCTCTGCCTTGTTCCCTTCTCACTACCCCAAGCAGAAGGCAGAGCCGAAGGACACATTCCAAACCCTGTGGTGACACAAACCCTGAAGTGAGAAGCATCCACAGACATATCCTCTGTATGCACATCTCTGGGCTGTCCCTGCACTTTGCCAGGGCAGGTCCCACTTGTACCGCAGTCTAGCGGCACTGTATCAGCCCTGTTTGTGCTTAAACAATGCTAGAAAGGATTCCCATGGTTGGAGGAACTCCTGAGAAGTCTGGTGAACTCACTCCTGGGAAATGCCTACAACACACACTTGCTACCTACCAAGCTCAAGGCCAATAGTTTGGGGATGTCCATGAGATGCCACCTTCCTGAGTGCCCTGATCCTCTTTGGCTAGCAGCTACATCTGGCTACATTCTCCTGGTGTTCTGTGCTCATTATCAGTTCCCCTGGCTTCTAACCTGCTCTCATATTCTCTGATATCTTTGCTGACCTTTGGGCTGTAATTACTGAACTGCTTAATTCTAATCACAGCTGATTTCAAATCACCTTTTACTTACCAACTTCTAACTCAAGTCAACCATAGTCAGAGAACATCTATTCTATCTTACCTTTCTTTGAAACATATTGAGATTTATTTTTGTTTTTATTGTTGACAATACAACCAATATTTCCTGTGCTTTAGGAGAGCACATTTTGTAAACATAGTGTTAAATTTGTACATAGTAAGTCTCTGCTCACTGGACTATGCAACAACCTTAGTTTCAGAGAATCTCTGACCTGTGCCACATTTGAGATCAGTCACTCCTGAATTCACTAAGACACAGCAGAACACAGTAGAGTTATCACCTGCTGCTAGACTATTTCATGCCTTTTTTAATAATCTGAATACCATGGTATACACAGAAAAGGAAAATGCCTCCCTGCAACCCAGTCATCCAACCATAAGTAGTTAGTGTATCCTCAGACTCAGGATCAAGGCCCCCAGTCATCCATCCATAAGTAGTTAGTTTATCCTCATCAGATTCAGATTCAAGCCCCGCCCCCCAGTCATTCATCCTTGAGTGGATGAATGATCCACTTACGTCCAAGTGGATCAAAGACTTCAACAAAAATCCAGTTACACTGAACCTGATAAAAGAGAAAGTGGGGAATAGTCTTGAATGCATTGGCACAGGAGACAACTTCTTGAATTTCCTCAGACTCAGAATCAAGACCCCCACAGGCATTTATCTATAAGTGATTAGTATATCCTCATCAAACTCAGGATCAAGATTCAGTACAGTCATTCATCACTGGAAGAGAGCAAGGATTTTCTTCATGGTATTTGGCAAATACCTTTGTGTGTCATGAGGAACTTTGCTAAAAGGGCAAGTGGCTGTTAAAAAAACTTAAGTACCAGGTGAGGCTGCTCTTGAGTTCGATTGACTGAAGGATGAATTCTGAGGCTGAAGAGGCTCTCCTTTCCTTAACTGCCCATCTGTCACCTTTGACATGGCTAATGGCTAATAAACTTTTCAATGGACATGTTTTATTCAGGGAGTCTCAAAGTGTCTGAGTGTTTCTATTTAAGAATTCTAGAAGGACTAAGATAGCACCATGTTGAGAAAGAAATCAGGGAAACAGCACCATTCACAATAGCCACAAACAATATAAAATATCTTGAGTATCTCTAATTAAGCAAGCGAAAGACCTGTAGGAGAAGAACTTCAAGTCTTTGAAGAAAGAAATTAGAGAAGATGACAGAAGATGGAAAGATCTCCCATGCTCATGGACCTGTAGGATTAACAAAGTAAAACTGGCTATCCTACCAAAAGCAATCTACAAATTCAATGAAATCCCCATCAAAATTCCAACACAATTCTTTACAGACCTTGAAATAACAGTACTCAACTTCATTTGGAAAAACAAAAACCCAGAATAGCTAAAACAATCCTATACAATAAAAGAATTGCCGAGAGTATCATCATCCCTGATCTCAAGCTCTACTGCAGAGCTACAGTAATAAAAACAGTATTGTATTGACATAAAAACAGACACATTGATCAATAGAATCAAATCAAAGACCCAGACATAAATCCATATGCCTATGGACATTGATTTTTGACAAAGAAGCCAAAATTATACAATGGAGAAAAGAAAGCATCTTTAACAAATAGCACTGGCATAACTGGATGTCGGCATGTAGAAGAATGCAAATAGATCCATATCTATCACCCTGCACAAAACACAAGTCTAAGTGGATCAAAGACTTCAACATAAATCCAGTTATACTGAACCTGATAGGAAAGTAGGAAATAGCCTTGAATGCATTAACTCAGGAGACTACTTCCTGAATATAACACCAGTAACAAGACACTAAGATAGACAATTACTAACTGGGACCTCATGAAACTGAAAACTTTCTGTAAGACAAAGAACAACATCAGCAGGCCAAAATGACAGCCTAAAGAATAAGAAAAGATCTTCACCAACCTCACATCTGACAGAGGGCTAATTTCCAAAATATATAAAGAACTCAAGAAGAGAAACATCAAAAAAACAAATAAATGAAAAAATGGGGTACAGACCTTGTGGTAGCTTGAATGTAATTGCCCCCCATAATCTCATAGGGAGTGGCACTACTAGGTTTTGTTGGTTTTGCTGAAGTGGGTATGGCCTTGTTGGAGGAAGTGTGTCACTGTGAGGTTTCCTATGCTCAGGATACAGTCAAGTGTCTTAGTCAATTTCCTGTTGCCTGAAAGATGTAGAACTCTCAGCTACTACTTCAGCACCATGTCTGCCTGTATGCTGCCATGCTCCCCATCATGATGATAATGGATTGAACTTCTAAAACTGTAGGTGAGCCACTTCTAATTAAATGTTTTCTTTGTAAGAGTTGCTGTGATCATGGTGTCTCTTCACAGAAATAGAAACCCTAACTAAGACAAACCTAAACAGAGAATTCTCAATAGAAGAATTTCAAATGGCAGAGAAACACTTAAAGAAATATTCAAAGCCAGGTGGTGGTGATGCATGCCTTTAATCCCAGCACTCAGGAGGTAGAGCCAGGCAGATCTCTGTGAGTTCGAGGTCAGCCTGGTCTACAGAGTGAGATCCAGGACGGATACCAAAACTACACAGAGAAACCCTGTCTCAAAAACAGCAAATAAATAAATAGATAGATAGATAGATAGATAGATAGATAGATAAATAAATAAATAAATAAATAAATAAATAAAAAGGAAGGAAGGAAGGAAAGAAGGAAGGAAGGAAGAGAGAGAAAAAAAGAAATGTTTAAAATCCTTAGCTATCAGGGAAATGCAACTCTGAGATTCCATCTTATACCTGTCAGAATGTCTAAGATCAAAAATACAAATGACAGCTTATGCTGGAAAGATATGGAGCAAGGAGAACACTCCTCCATTGCTGGTGGGAGTGCAAACTTGTACAGTCACTTTGGAAATCAATAGGGCGGTTTCTCAGAAAACTGTTATCATTCTACCTCAAGACCCAGGCATATGGCTCTTGAGCATATACACAAAAGATGCTCAATCTAACTCAAAGGACTCTTGCTCAACTATGTTCATAGCAGCTTTATTTGTAATAACGAGAATCTAGAAACAACCTAGATGCTCCTCAGGTGAAGAATGGATAAAAAAAATGTGTTGCATTTACACAATGGCGTATTACTCAGCTGTTAAAAACAATGACATCATGAAATTTGAAGGCAAATGGATGAAACCAGAAAAAAAAATCATCCTGAGTAAGGTAACTCAGACCCAGAAAGACAAATATGGTATACACTACTCATAAGTGGATATTAATTGTAAAGTAAAGAATAACAATGCTACAATCCACAGACATAGGCTAGATAACAAGGAGGGCCCAAGGGAGGATTCATGGATCCCCCTTGGAAGAGGAAATAGAAGAAATCTTCCTGGGTGGACTGGGTGGGTGGGCATGGGAACTTGAAGGATTGTGTTGAGGGGGTGGGTGGAGGAAGAGAGTACTGAAAGAGATGACTGGAAAAAGGAGGGGGACTTTTCAGGGTCAGGTAGAAACCTGATGCCAGGGAAACTCCCACAAATCTACAGGGAAGACCCCAGCTAAGGCTCCTGGCAATAGTGGATACACAGCCTGACCTGGCCATCTCCTGTGATCAGATTGGTAACTACCCCAATTACCATCAGAGAGCCTTCATCTAATAACTGATGGAAACAGATGCAGAGACCCACAGCCAAACATTAGGCCAAGCTCAAGGAATTCTGCTGAATGGAGGGAGGAAGGATTGTAGGAAGCAGAGGGGTCAAAGACATCACAAAAAAAAAAAAAAAAAAAACACCAGAAACAACTAACTTGACTCATAGAAACTCACAGAGTCTGAGCTAACAACCAGGAAGCATGCATGGGACTGACCTAGGCCCTCTGCATAAATGTGACAGTTGTGTAGCTTGGTCTATTTGTGAGACTCCTAACAGTGAGAACAGGGGCTGTCCCTAATGCTTTGGCTGGCTCTTGGAACCTATTCCTCATATTGGTTTGCCTTGCCCAGGCTAAAAACAAGGAGAAGTGCTTTGACTTACTGCAACTTGATAGGCCACGCTTGTTGATACCCATGGGAGGCGTGCGTGCCCCTTTTTGAACAGAAGCAAAGGGGTAGATTGAGGCAGGCAGAGGAGAAATGGTGGGAGGGAGTGGGAACTGCAGTTGGGATGTAAAATAAATAAATTAATTAAATTAAAAAACTTATTTAGATTAAAAATAAAGATAGCAATATGTACCTATCAAACAGAGGAGATTCCCGTTATCAGGCTTGCTTAGGACTCAGATTGGAGTACCAAGTCCTTGAAGGCCCACTGGAAAGCAGAGCCTGGGCCTAG